ACGTTAAATATGGACGTGGATTGCTACTCTACGGGCCGTCAGCAACAGATATAAATGATTATTAACGAAATTTCTTGTTCAATTTCAATTGCAAAAAAAAGCATTAGAGGAGACTTTGTACAAGATATTTTTTGCAAACATTCAAAATTTTCAATTAATTGTACGCAAATAGAGACTAGCAAATCGAGTATGTGTCGTGGAAATATTCGTGCTATAATAGAAGTAAGCAGATCTATATATGAATCAATTTTTTAATTTGAAAAAATTTAGTATCTGAAGATACGAATAATCTAACGGCTGTGACAGAATACTTTCAAGGAAGAACACGTCAATTAATTTTTGCGTTCTTCCCATTAATAATCCAATGTTTATACGTTTCAAAATACTAAGGGTGTTCTATCTGATAGGATGTAAGAAAGATTACATCAGCGTAAAAATATAGTACAGAGGCTAATTTTCAGATAATCGATCCGAACCCTAAAGCTTATCCAGAGAAAACAAAGCATTCATTTTGAACTGAAATCAATTTTCATACTATGAACGAACAGCTTGTAAATCTCTAAAACAAATAAATTTTGTTTAAAATACATAAACTTTTCAAGATGAACAACCATGATATGAAAATGTGTTTTTTTTTAAATCTGAAAAAGCCACTAACTAGCTAGTTCAATTTTTTAACATCTAGATTCAAGAACACAAATACAAAAAAAACTTAAGTTATGCTTCAAAGGTGTTCGTGATAAATGTTCGTTGTATCTCTATCATGACTTTTTTCCTTTGCTCTTTATAGCAAACATTTTTTTTATGGGCTTATATAGAATGGAACACTGATTTTTCTTTCGGAACATAGGTTCAGTCCAAAACACGAAGAACTAACTAAGATACTGGAAAACTCATTTATTCTGCTACATTCGTTAGATATACTTCATCAAAATGAAGCTTCTTTCATGAGATTACTTTCTATTGAGCTTGGCACTGAGTAATCAGAATATTCATATCATGTTGTTCAATTCTAATACATATTCCATATTCAAATACTGATAAAAATATTGTTAAGCAACTTTCGTAACTATTAAACATTTTGCAATCAACTAAAAGGAAAATTTATTTGAGTCACAATTATCACTAATAATGGAAGGATAACATATCGACTCCTATTTATGGACAAAAAAAAATGAGATCGATCAGTGTTTGATCCTTGAGAACCTTCTTTCGTAAAGCAAGCCTTCCATAAATCGGAAATCATAAAAAAAGGGTATGGACGTGGGTGTAGGTGTTTATCTTCTCTTCACCTGTAGCCATGTCCACACCCACATCCATTCATTCAATGGGATAAATGAAAGTTTAGAAAATTACTTTGCAGATGCATGTAATAGGTCGATTAAATCAGTTCTTAGGAATTTAAACTGGAACTGTTACAGTTCTAGTCGAAATTACAATGAATGCAATTAGGTAGAGGTGAAAATTTTCATAGTTTTGCCTGATACATATTCGAGAAATACTGAAAAAGTGAATTGCATATGTGCAATCGATTCTTTATTTGGTCGAATTAACTAATGAGCAAAGAGTTTTTCCGTATGAGTCGAATTATCAGTAGGTTTAGATTTAAATTTACATCCGCTATTTTAACATGACTTTTACAAAAAGAAAGAAGAATGTAACTGAATATTATCATTTTTTATGCCAAATATGTTATTTGTGTAAACTATTTATGATTAGTTTGAATTTCAATAGAATTTTTATACTGTATTTAGGTAAATCTGAATTATTGAAACGAGCTGCCATATTTGCGGGTATTACAATGACGACAACTCCATTAGCAGCTGGTGAGCTTAATCGACCGTATGTAGGCGAAACAGAAAGGTTACTTGTTGACATCATGTATCATGCAAATACGATACCTTATCTAATATGTGCTGTGGCAATAGATGAAATAGATGGGCTTGTTCCTAAACGTGATAATAATGCTCAACAATCGAAAGTCAATGGAATAAGTGTACTTCTTTCACATATTGAAGGTGTTAAAAATATACCGAATTTGATTGTATTCGGTGCAGCAAATCGATGTAATGTGATGGGTGAAGCTTTTCTACGTCGAATGCAAGTAAAATGTTTTGTCAGTCAGCCATTACCTCAAATTTGAAATAAAATGCTTGAACCATTGTTATATAAAGATTCGAAAACATTTATGGCAAATCATATTGATTTCCTCGTGAAAGTAACGACAAATTTTAGTGGTGCAACAGTCGATGCACTTAAATCGAGTATCATTGTTGCTATAGATCAATATCAAAATTCGAGAACTCCAACTGACAAGACTTTACTTGAATTAACTGACAATACAGCGAGAGAATTTAGCTGTTGGTTTGGTATTGGAACATTACCAGAAATTTATCATCTCTATCCAGATATTGTTTCATCGACAGAACAACAAGAAAAATATTCACTTAAATTATCTAATATTTCACCATCGGGTAGTATTCTTGTTGATTTACAATATCGAAAATGTTTAATTGAATTATCTAGTAATGATGCAACACTCGAAAGTGATCTCAATCTCGAAGAAACATCAACATTAACATTACTTTCACGTTTTGTTAATGGATGTTCAAGTTGAAAATATCTTTATTTACGCTCTCTGTTTGTTCCTGGGAAGTCAAAATCACAGCGGTAGATGACTTAATCCTTGATTATCTTGGATAGGAGTGGGGCAAGTCAAGCTTTTTGAGGGGAAATAATTGAGAAACAAAAGCAATAAAACATTTAGACGGAGTGATCGGATTTTCTAGCATTACAGACAGACAGTATTGATAAAGCTTGCAAGTGTTACAATGATATATGTGACTAAGTCTATGCATTAATGAATCCATTGTGTTCCACATTTTCATTTTTTATTCGATGAAGATTCTTTTTTTAGAAATGAAGATACTTCAGTGTCCCATTTTTTAACTTTGTTTTTTCAAATTTTTCTTTTATTGAAAGAATTACACCAAGCGTCAGCTATAAATCCGAATTCTAACTTTCAAGACTCTATAAATTTGGATTCAAGATTCAAAAACAAAAATGGTTAATCTCCATGCTGAGAAATACTTTCAAGTGTCTGAAAACAAAGGTATCCCGAACTGTGGGTCCCATCATTTTCTATGTTGCAGCTTTGTTAAAAGTGTTAGCTTGATGAGTCAAATTGTAGTTAAGATCCAGAAATAGTCAAAGAAGAGAGAAAGTACCCATAAAACAGGCTGAATTCTACAAATTCTTCTATTAGAATCGTTGAACTACGTACATTGATATTAGGATTCTGGTTTCTAATAGGTGTAAAACTAGAATCCTACAAAATTCATACAGGAACATTTGTACAAGTCAGAACATGGGATAAGGAGTCTGAGTTCGATTCGAGCTGGGGCTTAACTATGAAAATTGAAAATGTTTCAAAAATTAAAAGCTTGTATTTTTAACATTTTTTCCTAGATGCTGGAGATGAAAATTTTTATATCAATGCTTGAAAATGTCCTTCACAACTTCTATTTCGATATCGTTGCTGTTCGTGATTGAGATGTTTGGCAGGGTATTAACTGTATTTGTAGTGTTAGATGCTAACCATTCTCAATTTTACATAGTCTAATAATTCGAAACAAGTCTGTCAAAGACCAGAGATGAATTATTTTGAAGTCTGAACTTATCGTTTGCTTTGAGTTAAGATTTTTCTGGCTGATAGACGAAATTTTGCCAAAAATACAGACTCGAACAGTCTATAAAATATGAACTTTGAGTCGTACAAAGTTTTCTAAAAGGTCAAAATCATGCAAATAACTCACACGAAAACACTTTCGATAGAGCCTCGCTAACAAACATACTCAAAATGATCTGTTTATCGAATATTTTCGATAATATAAAAGATGTTCATTCTACTCTTAAAATTAATATTCTAATTATCTTCATTTTGTTTAATTAAGAGTGTGATGAATATAATCGTTCGATGCTCATTTTTGATATCGATTCACTCATTATGCTCAGTGTTTCCGATTCACAAATGTCAAAATTGGTTTCGATTTCAAACATACATTTATATAAATTTATTCGAGAAAAATGTAAGACAGTCATTGTTGAATAGAAGACTACAAGTAGCAATGTGAGTGAAATTGATCAGAAAAAAAA